TGTTTGAACTTGTACCGAGATCGGTAATTGATTCTGTTACAGACGAGGGAACCACCTCTCCTAATGACTGAAAATCAATAATAACTAGGTTACACAGGCCCGCCAACAACCAATAATTACTGCTTCTCCCTCACTATGACAGAGATAAGAATACAATTAAGTGTAAAGGATTATAAAACTCGTTATACAATATATGCTTTTATTTTCGATTGTATAAACACTATACAAGGTGCTCACACACACACACACACACACACACACTTAACTAGCAAAATCAATATTAAATAGGTCACACAGGTCTGCTAATGACAGATAATTACTGTTCCTCCCTCGCCATACCAGGGATAAGAATACAATTAACTGTAATAGATTATAAAAATTCGTCATACAATACATACCTTTATTTTCAATTGTATAAACACTTTGGCAATATTCACCATGTTTAAACATGTAACTGAACCGATAATTAATCCTGCTGCAGACGAGTGATCACCCCTCCCTAATTCATCATAATCCATAAATGTCTTGACACGTTGTCTACATTAAATCGCCAAAACACCTCAATATTAAGAATTCATTGCAGTCAAAAGGATTATAAAATTCGTTGCTGTACTCAATGTCTTTATTAAGGTCTTCAAATATGCCTTTAGTACAAACAAACAGACACAAATACAAATCATATCACCCGAGTTCCATATAACGAGGGTCATAATATGACCATCTCTTCCTGCTCAGAGGTAACGGCAGCGGTGGTGCAGTCTCGTCTTGAGGTGTAACCAATCAAAATAGGAAACCCATCTTAATCCTTACTAAGATTATCAATGTTCTCATTATGTAAATATAAGACAAAATATATATGTATATGACAATATCCATTTCTCACTCCATATGCATATATAAAAAAATAATTTCAAAGACTATAATCAATATCTTTACAAATGTTTACAAATGCATAATATAACAAAGATGCAACTCTAATAAGAATAACACAACAGAAATTTCTTAACTTCGCAAGACGATTGATAAGCTATCTTACATCCCAAAGGCATCTTTCTAATAAAAATACAATTCAGTCAAAAGGATCATGAAACTCTTGTTGTACTCAATATGCCTTTATTATGACCTTCACAAAAACGCACCTAACAGGTGATAATACAAATAAAATAAAAATAACAGGTTTAAATTTTCTGTATAAATGTAAATGCGATACCCACTATCTCATACGTTTGAAAATTTCAGGCTTATACAACAGGTTAATTACCTAACAGGTTGAAAAGCCGCCAGGTTTTATTCTATTTAGAGAGCATTAATAGGGTTTTCAACGCATCTGCACGAGACCAAAAACGGGGTTCCCCCTCCTATTTCCGTCTGAACAACTAATTATCTACCACCTGTCCCCATGTGCCGACCCAGCTATGATTTGCTAATTAACCTCAAGAGGCAATGTTTTTTCCCAAAAAGTGTTCCCGCCTCAGCTCTCAATTTTTGTACAATCTGCAAACTAGGAAATATGTTCAGCTTTCCCATATGTATAACTCTATGCAGACAGCCGTATCTTTGCACGTCAATACAGTGCATTCTCTTCTGATATAAAAAGACCAGGGTAAACATCGATTAGAGATCCTCCGTTTTATGATGACATAAGAAAAAGATGAATCAGAACAGAAGGTGGACTAGCTTTTCAGTAATTTACTCCCCCTCCACAAAATTGTCTATAGTACCTCCCTACAAGTATATACAAAGAAAAGGAACTATGCAACGGTAACCACTAATGTTGGTTACTGTAGTTTCATTTACCTAACAAATATGCTGTTTTGTCTTCAACAAGAACGAGAAAAATATTATAAAAGGACACAAATAACCTTGCCAACGTGTATAATTCAACCAAACTTTACTTCTCGATTTCCCCGTCATTGCCTTTCTACAAATATGCAGCAAGAGATGGAACTAGATAAGTTGTTATCTTTAAAAGACGATCACCCCAACCGTCGGACTATAGTGATTTACATTCAGACACAGCTTTTTAAGTAACACATGCATACATTTTCTCAAATCTCCCTATTCAAAGAGAGAAATATTTTTTACGTCGGCACTGAATAAAACTTGATACTCGATCTCTTTAATATTTTCTGAATATCTTAACACAAAGTCCTACCAAATGAAAAAAAAAAAATATATATATATATACATATATATATATATCATAACATCCTTTGCCTATGATTTTTCACTATGTTCCCTAGTTGTTATAGTAGCAAAAACATTTAAGACCCCTATAAACTATTTTTATCTTCAAAAATCAAAACACCTGTATAACAAGAAGGCTTTCACTTGATTATTTTTCCCTTTTAGCATCTATGTCTTTATCAAAAACAAGAACTTTTATAAGACATGAAAAAAGAGGTAAAATAATATAACTTACCATATTATAAAGCTTTTATAATTGTACATGTATTGGACAATGACTAAGTCAAATTCGCCTAAAGCTGGGATTTTTTGA